ACACGGTACCCCCATACCGTGTAACGATACCTGGGTACCGACGGTAGGCGGAGACGGTTGGACCAACTCGTCCTAACCAAGTACCGCCAGAGCCAAATGGATTTTTAGTGGGACAGGGTACCGAGGTACCGCCACTCACGGTACCCCCTACCGTACGCACGGTACCATGCTACCGTGTGGACGGTACCGGCCTACCGTGACCGTTAGGTTACTGTTCCTGATTTGAGATTTTGAATTAAATCAACCCTAATCACCTCCCAACGGCTAATTAACATCTTCCACTATAAATACAAGCCTAATCCTTCATAGTTCTTCAAGAAATAAAGCTCTAAACATCCTCTCTTTTTATTCTAAGTGTGTTCATCCTTTTATTAATTATTTTTAATATTTTGGCTATTTTAAGAGCCTTAAATTCCTGATTTTTATACACACACATTGAGCTTGTGTTTCTAGTTATATATACTCTCATATTCATAAGTTTGAATTGTATTTTTGAGAGATTATACTTTTCCTCTACACCGGCTGAGTTTTGTTCCACATTTTAATATTCTAGCCGTTGTGTAGAATCTACTTTTGTGTTCTTCAAACACACCTTACGGTCGAGAATAGCCGTTAAATTCTCACGCTGTAACGATGAAGGATAGCCGTATAAATCCTTGGGTAAAGGTTCAAGGATAGCCTTTGAAATCCTTGGGGGAGCGGTAGAAGATAGCCGTTAAATCTTCATTATAAACGGTTCGAGATAGCCGTAGTGAAATCTCGGAGTGAATCCTATTGGCAAGGGTTGTTTGCCAAACTAGTGCGGTTCTTTGATGGAGTTCAAGAGGCCAGAACTTAGTGGATTTGGAAATCCTTGAGGAGGAGCCTCGAGGTACTGGAGTAGGGAGTTCCTAAACCAGTATAAATTCGGTGTGCATTTTACTTTACGCTTTTATTTCTGCGTTTTACATATTGCTTCTGCGTTTGCCAACACCGTTTTTATCAAACTCCGAAAAGATTTTAAACGCCTTATTCACCCCCCCTCTAAGGCGTGGGCATCACGTCTAAACCGATTAACATATCGTCGTTAATTCCGGCATTAAGGCCAATTACTTACGGAATTTTGCCTTTGGCGACGTAAAATTTCCGTCGCTATTTCAATAGTTTTTTGTAGTGTTGTTTCGTGATGATAAGTGTATGTTTTGGTACCGTTGTTGATCGATCTTGTGGTTTTCTTTCTAATTTGGGGTTTCCACATAAATTATGTGTTCTCTAGTTTGCTACTATTTGGTTGGTATCTTGCTAGTTATTTTGTGGAGATCATTTAGCTGTGTAGTTCATCTTATTTTTTTCGGAAAAGATTTAATTTTCTTTTGTTCATTTCACTGCTACTTACACAAAAAAGTTTTTCTCTCATACATGAATTCAAGTTTCTTCCACATCTCAAAAGTTTTAGTTTTATCGGTAACATGTTATTGCATTACACTTAGAACCATATTGTCTATGTGATGCAACAACTTTCTAGTTGAAGCTAGTCCATTCTTTCTCGGCAACACTTGTTGGATGTTCTTTGAATAAAATTAAGTCCAACAAGACCTTAGAAAAAAATAATATAATCCTCAACACGAATTTTCTAAATAGAATAATTTGTGGTGTCCAGACTAACCACTCCTTGAAGAATTACTTTGTCATTCATCATGAACAATATAATAAGAAGTCAGCCAAAAATAACCAAGCTTTGTTGTTGTTCTTCATTGTCCGGTAATTGGGATACTTTGGTAGTTTCACTTAGCACCTCTCCCCCAGATGCAAGATAACAATGGGGATGGTCAGTGCTAGTTTTTTTTAATGAGGATTCAAATCAAGAAAAAGAGATTTCATTTGGCATTATTGTCAGAAGGTCACATTGAGAAATTCTACACAAAGAAAAACATAGATATGTCCAATGAGAGAAAAGAGAAAAATGAGAATTCCGAGCAGAAGCGAGAACAGAAGAACACTACAACCTTAGCATCTAGTGATGATGATTTCTATATTATCGATGATCATGGACTATTTTAGCATGTGATGACTCTACCAGGGTGATTGATTCGGGTGTATCTTATTATATTACTTCACATAGGGAATACTTCCCATCACGTGATTTTGGTAATGTGAGGTTTAAAAATGACAGTTTGTTGTCCACGATCATCGATATGAGTAGTGTTTCTTTAAAGACTTCCATTGGTTGAAGGTCGACGCTCAAGAATGTGAGGCACGTCCGAGATATGAACTCTTATATCTATAATTTATAAACACCAACTAATACTATTATTAAACTTAGTAAATATAAGCTTATACTTCAACTTAAACACAACATAGGGGGGGTTGGATAAAAAATAAATAATTTTTTGGTTTTTTTTATAAAATGAGAGAAACATCCGCATGCTCAACAAGACTAAAATAAGCAACTTCAACTACTTAGTAACCATTGAAGGAATATATAATTCTTTGAATAAACAAAGATGATTCAAGGGATTTTATATATACACAAATCCCTAAATTTGGTAGAAGAGAAATAATAGAAATCTATACATAAATGGTATCTATCATCACTACTACAAAAAAGACCTATTAAATCGGTTACTTTTACCCTTTTAAATCGGTTTTGAATTGATGCAAATGCTCAGGCTACTTTTTGCATCGGTTATAAAACCAATGCAAAAGTCTATTCCCAGAATTGGCACCATTTCTGGGAAGAGGCTTTTGCATCGGTTATTTGGTAATAACTGATGCAAAAGCTTAGGCATTTGAATCAGTTATTACCAAATAACCGATGCAAAAACCTCTTTCCAGAATTGGCGCCATTTTTGGGAAGAGGCTTTTGAATCGGTTATTTGGTAATAACCGATGCAAAAGCTTCGCCTTTTGTGGGAAGAGGCTTTTGCATCGGTTATTTGGTAATAACCGATGCAAAAGCTTAGGCATTTGAATCGGTTATTACCAAATAACCAATTCAAAAGCCCTTTTCTCATTTCTGGGAACATGCTTTTGCATCGGTTATTAGGTAATAACCAATGCAAATGTCTCTTCCCAGAAATGGGAAAGGTGCTTTTGCATCGGTTATTACGAGATAACCGATGCAAAAAATAATTTTTTTCAAAAGGTTTTTTTATTTGCTCCCAATCCACTACATTTTCAATTTTGCACAGAATTATGTGCAAAATATACAGATTCAGCAACAACAACAATTCAACTCATCAACACAACAACAACAAACACAAATAGATTCACAAAACCCAAATGCCACAAAACTAGCGAATCCTTCTCCATGCATCAAAATTGATCTAGTTCAATCTTTTACCCGTGTTGTAGTCCTTCAAAATCATTAAGGAGATATGCATGATCATGTAGAACACACTCGTGAAGATGATCATCATGATGGTGATGATGATGTTCCATAGTCACAACCACATTTACAGTCACCTCCACCACCTCAGTTGAAAAAGTATATTGGGGCTAGAAAGCCTTCCATAAGACTTTCATAGGATGAGCATGTGTTAGTCATTGATGTGGGAAAGTGAGAGGCATTCGTTGAAGCTATTTGTCACACATGTAATAAGAGAAATGATATGATGTCATACAAGATGAGATGACATCTTTGTATGAGAATCATACATTTGAGCTTGTGGAGTTGCCTAAAGGTAAGAGAGTACTTGAGAACAAGTGGGTACACAAATTTAAGTGTGATTATAGTGACTCACAAGTAAGAAATAAGGTAAGGTTGTGAAGGGTTTTAGTAAAAAAATAAGCTAGGGCATAAACTTTGATGAGATATTTTCTTTGGTTAAGAAGATGTCCTCGATCTCTTTGATTTATACTTAGCTTAACTGCTAGCATAAGTTTGGAGTTAAACCGAGCAGCTTTATGTGAAACAATATCTCTTCATGGTGACCTTGACGAGGAGATCTACATGAAACAACTTGAAGAAAAGTTAAGGGAAAGAATAACTTGGTACACCGTTTGAAGAAAAGTTTGTATGGGTTTGACCAAGTACCTCGGCGGTGGTATACGGAATTTGAGTCATATGTGGTTGATCATGGCTTCGACAAAACACATTCGTATCATTTTATCTTTGTGAAGAACTGCTCTGAAGTTAATTTTCTTACTATCATTTTATATGTGGATGACATGTTGATTATTGGCCACAAAGAAGATTGTTAGCTTGAAGAAATCATTGAGTAAGTCCTTTACAATGAAGGACTTCAATCCTATTAAAGAGATTCTAGGCATGAGGATCACTCGTGATAGAAAAAACAAGAAGCTTTAGCTATCACACGAGAAATACATTGAGAAAATTCATGGTAGATACATTGAAAATGGTGATAGCTCGTAGCAATCGTGACGATAATAACTAACTAGGAAGTCAGTGACAAATCGTGACTGTTACTCTGTAGTTTTTTATGAATTGTAATCTATTTTATATTTTAATTTGTAAATAAATATATTTTGAAAATGAATAAATGTTCCATTTAAGGAGTTAATGCTTGAGATCCTATTTTGTTCTAGTGATTTCTTTTCCCTTTTTTTCTTCTTCATGTTAAAGATGACGATTATTGATGTTGGCTGTTGTCGACTCATGCCAATGTCTATGGCTAAGCGATGAATGGAACGAGAATGAAGTTCATATCAAAGCGTGAAGGATAATATAGAAAATCGAAGTTCATATCAAAGCGTGAAAGATAATATAGAAAATCGATTTGTTAGAGTTTGAATAATCATTTGAGATATTGTGAAAATCTCAATCGAGTATCTATGAATCATTTTAAGATTCCTCGAACTAATTTAGGATTCCTCGTATTGACTTGCCAAAATGTGCCCTTGTAATATTGATTATTTATAGGGAAAGGTTCCCATGACATTGGTTCCCAATGTCATGGGAACCAAGGTGTTATTTATAACATTCAAAAAAGGAAAGTGATTTATTTATAAACAATCAAAACTACGTCGTTTTTATGTGCCATAAGATATTCTTCCATCCAGGCGAACTCCGGCGCTCACCATCCCCTCAAAGCTCGGCCCCCTCCTGCTTCAGCGATTCTCTCGGTTAGTCGATGCGGCATGCGGCACCACGCCTAAGCGCACCACCGATCCTGCCGTCGAATTGTATATCAGGGTCTGGCCGCGCCTGTCGGCCGTCAGTCATTCACCGCCTCACTGATTCAGCGGCGAAGGACCAGCGTCACCTGTCTCCGTCCATATTTCAGATCGTCATTTGCAGTTGAGGGCTTATGCTTATCATTGTTTATTTTCCCCAATTTTAAACATTTCTTAGTTGGTTCCTAATTTAAGTAAAAAATCATAATTTGGAGAAATTAGGGTGCCCAAGATGGGTTTGATCATAGACAAAGTTTCACACATATGATTTCTCATATGCCTGAATTTTGACACCATTTTGGGGAGAGTGTAAATGGTACATCCGGATGTAGGTACATCCGGGTAGTACTCATTCTGAAGTAAGTAGTACTCATTCTTGTATCAACATAAGCATTCATTTTGAAAAACCATATTACTCATTCTGAAAAAACGTAGTACCCATTTTCACACATTCGTAGAATATTCATTTACGAATAACCTAATACATATTCTAAAACCTAGTAGTACTCATTCCTACTTAGACTAGTACTCATTCTTCAACTAAGCCCTAACTTCAAATCCCTACAGAATCATCACCTTCCCATCATCATCACCTGCCAAACTCCATCATCATCACCAGTCTTCCTTCTTCTTCATCATCATCACCGCATCATCGTAGCTTCAATTCTGCAGAATCATCTACAAAACCCCATCATCATCACCGGTCTTCCTTCTTCATCATCGATCATCATCCCAGATCCGCGCAAACTTCCGATCTGCAGCCTCCTTCATCGCGGATTTCTTGCGCTTCTTTTCGCCCTATTAAACGCCGGCTGTACCTATCTCTAGGTACAGCCGGATGTATAATATAATTTGCGCCATTTTGGGCACCCTATGTTTTCCAACTTGGAGGCCAATTGAGAAATTAAAACTATTTAAACTTATGTTACCTCTTTTACAGTATTTGTCCAGTTTTGATCTTTTGAAATCGATCATTTTCAACCTTTGACCTATAATTAAATAATTTTTATGAATTATATTGATTAGAAAAAACAATATTTTGTAAATACTATATAAAATGAATCTAATAATATTATTTTTATATCAATATCTAATATCAATTTTATTTAAATTGGGAAAAAAACTAAAGTAGTAGTGAAACATAGAAAATATACCAAAATAGGAGTTCCATGTTTTTATTCTCAAAATAAGAGTTAAAATGCATATACAATGTGAATCATGCCAATGTATAATACAAAAAATACCGTGAAGTGTCCATATATAGTGCCACATTATCACAGTAGAAATTCCTATTTTAGGGATAAAAACATGGAGCTCTTAATTTGATACTTTCTCTATGTTTTATTCCTATTTAGGGTGATTTCTTTATTTAATTAGTAGTCAAAGTTTGTCAATTTTGACAGCAAAAAGTCAAAACTGGACAAATACTTAGGGACGGAAAAATGTTACAGAGTATTAGTTTTGAATTTTGAAATGAAAGAGATTAGGAAGGATGGCTAGTAATGATGAGTGGCCGACGACAATGGGTGGTTTGTGGTGGTGACCGGTGGGGTTTGGTGGCATCACTGGGTGGTGGTCCGGGACGGGGGTAGCTACCAACATTGGGTGGCCAGATAGGGTTGGCTGGCACCGGGGGTTGGTCTACATCAATTGGTGGTTGGCGGCTGAGTGTGGCCATTTGGTCAATGATGATGGTGGTCCACAATGGTGGCCTGCAATGGTGATTAGCCAACAAGAGTGAGTTGCCGACATCTAGGGGTGGTCGGCGGTGCCGCAATGGCAACCAACAACGACGGGTGGCCGGTAGGAGTGGGTTGCCAGCTGTGGTGGCAAAAAATTGAGGGAGTTACCGAAACCCCCATATTGATATACTTAAATTTAGGAGATATTAAAACACCTCCATTTGGGAGGGTTGTGATATTGAGAGATATTAAATCTGAATTTTGTTTAGATTTTACCAAGTAACTGTAAAAGGGTTATGATATCAGGAGATATCTAAACCCATACGGGCCCTTATGCTCCATTCTTATTTTTCCTAAACTGAAATAATACTGTGTTTGACTCTTGGATGCATGCTACATCCATTTCCTTACACTACAAGCAATGCTAAGTCACATTTTTCACATGAAAATTTCAAAATACTACCATTATTCATTTAGTGGGAAGCTTAAGAATGGCTTTGATACTGGGAACATAAACACAAACAACCTTGGTATGTGAATGTAATCTAGTTTTAGTGGTAACTAAGGTGGTGAATGACAACTTTGATGAGAAATCATGTCTTGCCCTTGATTTAGGAGTTTCACATAGATTTCTGCATAGTGCATAATACTAATAAAGAGAAGGCATACTATAATAATTTGATCACTCATCAGTAGAGGAGATAAAGATCTTTCTGGCTCAAGAGACTTAATAGAGGTATGCCTCATAGAGTCACAGAGCGTGGGATGAGTTGTTGGTGTTTGAATTGACAATTTTAAACCTTGAAGGTAGATGATCTCAAGGGAGTTTTTACATATTAGGTCCATATAGGGTTGTGTTAGTGGAGTAGCTGTGTGTGCGGGTGCTTTGAACTCGTGTGACTTAGGGTAACTGGTTTAGTGGTCCTCTGAGAAATGTTTCTTTACTCCTCGAAGTAAAGGTATGATTTGCTTTAACTTTTCTCTCGCATGCTTGCATTTTTTTCGTGTGAGATATACTAAGCATGTATGGGTTGATTTGGTTTGCTCTCGTGCATCAAGTCATGATCATCAAGAAAACTAATTAAGATCTGATGAGGACACATAACACTTGTGGCCTCCCATATTAAATTGACCTCATGATGCCATTTTACCTCAACAATACTTGATTCGTGCCATATTTAATAGATTAGGTGGTGTGGTACGATTTTTAAAATTTAGATTCAATGGAGCATAGATCGTGATTGGTGACTTGTATTTTAGTTTTATAAAAAGTGATGGAGTTTTTTTTGAAAGCAAGTCTTCTGTATGAGCCTTTTAGTGAACCTAGTGTTGAGCAACTGATGTTGAGCCCACTAGCAAACCTAGTATTGTCCCCCACCCTCTCTCTATTTAAAATATTTTTAGGGCACCATTTTCGAGTTTCTAAAAGTATCACCAATTTCATTTCACATTCTAAGGTTTATGTCCACACTAAGTACATTTGTTTTGATATTATCTCTATGAAATAACAAGTATGTGCATTACAAACATGATTGGTGACATTTATGTAAAAATTTATGTTTCTAGGGGCAAAGGATTTTGCTACAAAATGTGGAAGGACAATCACAATTTAGTGTTTGGGTGTGGTGGCGAAGAAGAGATTACTCAGTGACAAACATATGCATTTTAACAGGTTTTTATCACATTGCATGAACATATTTGTGTACATATGCATGTGCATGTGTTGGTGGTGTTCCATGCCCATGCCACAAGCTAGATTCCGCCATATCCTTTTTATGGACTATGGACTCTACTGTAGGCATGGCAGTTTATGCAATTTTGAGTATAAAGATAATCTAGAATCAATTGGAGTTCTATTTATCCTATATTTTGGGTAAAATTGGTTTCTATATCTTCTCAAATTCTCAAAAGTACTCAACTCTTTGTTTCTTAAGAATTAGCTTATTCTTAAATACTCCTTTAAGTCCTTTTGTCCTAAAATTGACTTGCTCACTTTCCTTTTAGGCTGTCTTGGGATAAACTTCCCATTCTATTTAAGGAAAGCCTTGAATGGTCCACACAATTTGTGCATAAATTCCAATGACATAATTTTACAATTTTTAAAGCTCTATTAAAAAGCAAACATAAAGTTTAATTTTAGTATTATTATACACTAAAATAATTTTATGTTGTGTTGTACCGCTCAATAACGACCCAAAAATAAATTTGGTATTATTATTTAAAAAATAATAATTGATCACTGCATTATATGAAAGAAAAAATCACCAAAATAAATGCTCCGTATGTAAGAAAACCAAAATTCAAATTAAAAAGAATTCATCATTGTCTGTGTTATAAAGGTTGCTATATTCGTCATAAACAGTTAGAAGTTACATAATACTCATTTCACACATTCATTTGTTTTACATACTTTAAGTATGTACGCCATAAAAATAGTGTCTTTGACAATGTTGATTGTATTCCTAAAAAACTTTATATTTTGTCGCTAAACAAGCAAAAAGAGTTGTAATTTTGTCTCTAGACAAACAAAATGTTTTGTAATTTTTTTGTTAAGTATATATGTAAGTATAGTCTTTTATAACAAACTAATGAATTTAATTATAAATTTTTATAATAAAGTATTTAAAAAACTAAAAGTTCATACAGGTTATGGTCGTTTCAATGAAACATAATTATTTAATATTGCGAAATTACATAGAAAAATATATAATATATTAATTCATTGAACTAATATTTTATGTTGACTCTATAATGGTAACTTAATTTTTTTGGAGACATAAGAGATAATTTTTTATTTAAATTGTGACACTACTTCAAATTTTTTATTATTTTATTGGCATTGATAGTGATGATGATGATAATAATAATAATAATTTTAAAAAGAGTAATATGAAAATCACATCTAATTAATTTTTTTAATGTCATTGTTGGAAGAAACTAGAAGGTGTTAGAAAAAATTAGAAAGAGTTGGAAAAAATAGGCAGGAGTTGGAAAATAGTGGAAGTAATTTTTTCTAATCCAAAAGAATAGACGCTTAGTATCAACTTTGGGAACCATGGATGAAATTTGCCTTAATTTTAACTTTGCGCATTGCAAAGCCCTAGAATTTGTCAATACACACAGACCCTTGTGGAGGAGCAACCGACAATGAAGAAATTTGACAAAAACCTTTGATAATATATGAGAATCAAAAAGTGGCTCGGAGTAGTGGGACTCCAAACACTGCAGCAGTTGTGTAGACCCAACCTCTCATCTCTGTTAGTATGCTGATTTTTTCAGCGTCTGATGCTAAAAAAGAACCACTTCGTTGGATGTTTGGATCAAACAGTATAAACGATTTATTGAGCATCTAGGAATACCGTGTACTACACTAGTCAAGGAGGCCTCACTCCATTTATCAGGTGATTCTCAATCATGGATAGATCCATCGGAGAAAGCAGAGCCGATATTGACTTCTGGAATATTTGTGTGTCATGCACCACAAGCTTTGGGCCTCCACTCAGCTCTAATCTGGAAGGTGGTTTGGTAGATTTGAAATTAATTGGCACTGTTGTGGGGTATACTTCTGAGTAACATTGATTTTTGGCTTGAGCACAGACATATCTACTCTCCTCCAAGTCCAACTTTTTACAACAAGTCTGTGAGATAATATTTGGATGGGATTGGAATGGCTCACACTGGGGAAGTTGGATGTGTCAATCTAGCCATGAGCATAACAAAGAAATAACACAGAAAAGCCAACTTTATTCATGTCTCATCACCTAACAAACCATTCTAACATTGCTTTAAAATCCATAACACTCTAAACTCTTCATAGAGCCTCGTGACCTCACATTCAAAATCGTTACAAGCCCTATTTCAAGAGATTGACTCATGGAGACAGCATAACATAAGACACGCCAACAACTTGTGCTAATTGTGATGAAATTTGTTCGGCTACATCATTGCAAACGCTTGTTCTTAATAGATGTGGAGGATGGTGACACAAATGATGCTCCAACAACTTGTGCTAATTGTGATGAAATTTGGTCGGCTACATCTTTGCAAACGCTTGTTTTTAATAGATGTGGAGGATGGCGACACAAATGATGCTCATGAGGAAGCAATTTGGAGACTTAATTGAATCCCATCTCTGGATGGAAACACTATTTGCTTATTTAAATAATGACAACTTCATGTACCATTCTTTGATGTGGAACCTAGATTGTGCACTCAAGGAGTACACAACTTCATGTACCACTCCTTGTTCGTGGAACCTAAATTGCAAGTACATGCTCATCCCGGTCTGAAGTGGTGGTAGACAGTGCTGAGACTTGAGGGAATTGAGATACAAGGAGGATGCAAATGTCATTCACAATTGGTGGATGCACATATACAACAAGTTTCTATCTACGGTCTAGACCTCGTTGCAAAGGGATCATGAAGAGGAAGAAGATCGTTGTTTGGACTTTGCAGTGCCTTGGCCTATGGTGTTAGAGAGGAAAATTGATTTGACCTTGTCAAAGTCTTATTGGATTTAATGATTCCTTTTTCTTTGTACCAAGGATGATAATACATTCAATAATTTCAATGCTAGTTCAACTATTACACGAAGTGCTAAACAAACTTCATAGATCATTAATTAAAAAAAGACAAGCACATAGTAGGAACTCATGTTCTGCATGATCTCTCCCGCTGTGATCTGTTGTGATTATGCTTCTTGCTAAAAAAGATCCATAGCAATTTCCCTTGCTTCTCTTTTAGATAATAGCATTGATGCATTCTCTCTTAGATTTAATCGGGTTTGTTCACATATAACCAAATGGGTAATAAGACAATTTTGGCTCAATTAGTATGGTGTCAGTTAGTGTGTTACACTTATTTAGTTAATTAAAAAAACAGTTGGGTAGTTTCTAAAAGCAGTTATGGGTAGTTTCTAATGTTAATAGGTGTGTTGGTTTGTAATGGTTTTTTCCATCATCTCCGATGGAGCCAAAATTTCACCATTTTTGGCTTTGGGGTGTGATGGAATAAATCAAAATGGATCTCTAAACTGTCTGTGCTTCTTTAATTAATGAAGTAGCAGTTAGTCAAGCAATGCAACTTTCGACGTTGAGCCGGGGGTCTCTTTGGAAACAGCCTCTCTACTTTCGAGTAGGGGTAAGGTCTGCGTACACACCCTCCCCAGACCCTACTCTTGTGGGATTTAACTGGGTTGTTGTTGTTGTTGTTGGTTTGTAATGGTTGTGTTGGTTTGTCCTGTATTTATATGTATGGACACATAATTCTGGATAGCAGTACCACGATAAAACACTCTGTTTATATACTCCAGATCTGATATTTTTCTCTCATTCTCTAAATTTCAGTTTTTGCTCTATTATTCCCTTTTCTGCCCATTAAATTAAAAGTGGGTGGTGCAACCACTTTTAGGTGCTAACTTTCAATGGATTTAGGAGTTAAGACACATGCTATATTGCTATGTGAACAAAGTACTTTTTACATCCTAAGCAATGTCGTTTAGTTTCTTTTAGAATTGATTTTATCATGTAGACCCTTTATGATAAAGTTCAAAACTAATTTTATTGAAGGATTTGAAAGCTGCATTAAAAAATTTGCAGTGTTAACAATGCCACCCAATACAAGAACCAGAAAAGCCTACAAAGCTATGAAAGATATGGGAATATCCGAAGGTTTTGTGAAACCGGCATTGAAAAATCTTTTGAAAATATATGAAAATGACTGGGCACACATTGAAGAGGAGAATTATCGGGCACTCTCTGATGCGGTCTTTGAAATGGCACAACCAAAGGTTCAACACTTCTTTTATTCTCATTTTCTATTCACCCATTTCCTAATACCAATGGGGACTAAATTTTCATTCACCCTTCTTTTCTAAGTATTGGCTTTTATACGTGTCATTAGGATGATGTGAAAAAGAGTATGAGAATTGTGAGGCAATGAGTTTGTTTCTTGTTTGTTTCAATTGCTCCTTCGATTATTTTCAAATATATTATTCCCTCCATCCACAAATTTTCTTTCTGTTTCGGTTTACAAGGTTTCGCGGAAGTTATTTACAATTCAATTTATTTGATTTTAAGTGTAAAATTTAAAAATAAAATTTATATATATTTAAAAACTACCCAAAAAATTTTACAAAACAAGAGGTGAAATGACTAATATATTATGAAATGACTATTGAAAATCAAAATAAGCAAACGAAGTGAACAAAGTTTGATCCGTGAATAATGAACAAGAAGAAAATATTTGGATGGAGGGAGTTTTTCATGGGTTTTTCTTTTACCCTTCTTTGTCATCTAATGTGGGCTAGATTTTCTTAAACCATCTCTTATCAATTCTTGCTTTTCTCATTATGTTACGCTTCAAAACCAGAAATATGTATCTTATTCATAGCATTCCTCTTAAACCTTAGGGAACTACATACATGAAGTCAAGAAAACCAATTCTTCTATTTTGGGGGCTTGGTTAATATAGAGTAGAAGCTTGGTCGAAAGAGACTTTACATAAAGAGAAGACAATAAAAAAGTGTCTTAGACTACATATTTCAACACATTCCTCAAGCTACCGTATATATACATCATAGGCGCCAAGCTTGTTACAGATATAGGCTAGTTGAGGTCTTTGTTATGAATTGGTGAAGATATTTGTGAGTTGTTCTCATGATTAGACAAATGAAAGATGACATACTAGTTTCTTTTAAAAAGTTGTCTCATTTAAACTGACAATGACATTCATTTCAATGCACGTATATCTTTAATGAAAAACTAGAGTGACGCATTTTGCAGAGCTGCATGATTATCACATATTAATTGCATGGAATATACCTTGCAGTCTCGTAATTCTTGTAGTACTTTGGCTACATAAATTCAAGACCTTGTTTTTTACGCTCCCAAGTAAGAAGATTATCTCAATAAAAGCACAGTACCAGGTAGGTAACAACTACCAAGAAAGCAACATGTCACCAGAGCATAAATTTTGAAACTCCCAAATTTCCTGTCTGTTACAAGGGTGCAGGCTAAAAAGATTTACGAGACATGAAGTTTGCTTGTAATTATTAATTCATTACACATAATGTTGCCAAACTAATTCGGGATGACCATAAGTGTATTTGGGTGCCAGAATTGTGACGTACAGCCATACAGGAGGTGCACGCATAACGGTGCATCATGGGAGGCACTACGGGGTGTGCATTGCAAACCAATCATTCTTTTTTATGTTTATAATTTTTTAGGTTTAGGATTAGGGGTGATGCTCCACTTTTCTTTAGTCTGACTCTTCTCCCTCTCTCTGCTTATAGTCCTCCAACCTTAAGAGTCCTTCAACCTTAAGATTCGCAGGCTTCTCTTACTTCTGCTTTGACTTGGACTCTGCCGCTTGGAGGTTTTGGCACTTTAGTCGTGCAGGTCGCATGCACATGCTTCTCTAGAGTTTGATCGTAGGCTTTTTATAGTTTTTTTCCTTCTCGGAGTAATTTTTTTCCTGTAGGTTTTTATCTTCCTTTTTTCCAAAGCTTTTTTTTCCTTCTATGTAACAGACTCGCAGCAAGTCAGCACTTGGCAGTGCATTTTTTCTTTTATTGTTTGATGTTTCACACCATTATTTGTTTGTGACATGTTCTTTGTTTTTTGTTTGTAGCTTTTGTTCTATGTGTGGCTTTGATTTTTAGTTGCTTTCTAAAAATTTCTTATGGCTTTCAAAATTTTATATGTATTATTACTAATCTAGAGATGCTATGCTACTTGTAACTCAATTTGCGCCTCCCGTTTGTGATGCGCCCTCCTCAATTGCGTATCGTGCATCGAGGCTTCAGTCTTGAGAGTGCCTTTGTGCATCGGTACACATTGTGTCTTAAACAACTTTGTTGGGTGCTAAGGGTAATGAAAATGGTTATGGGCATAATGGGTTTGTGGTTTGCCCAATGCTGGATTTTGCCCCTAAATGGTGCCGGGTTACAGCGACAAAACAAATTTACAGACTTGAAGCAACATCAGCTATAGTCATGAAGCTATGTAATGCCTGAATTTTTTCTAACCAGCTTCTGTTAGATATGGTAGCTGCATGAAAATGCGATAATTAAGCTCTAAATTTAATTTAAATATTTATTTATTCCAATCAATTTTAAATCTTTACATGGGTATGTTCTGACGTTTAGGATGATTTACAAGACAAAGTTGAGTAGATGTATTCAATGAAGATTTTCATGATTTATTGTGTGGAATTTTGTTATGGTAATTAAGCAATTTGGTTATAAAGTAAGCCTCAATGTGTGGGCGTGACCTCTATTCTCATATAATAATCCTCTCCAGGAGATCTCTTAATATATTTCATATAAATCAAATGATTGCATTCCAATTGCTTCCACTTCATGGGTAAACAAATCACTTACAATACCACCCACGATGCTATCTTTGGTCTAGTTATAACGAGATAGTTCTGTTTTGACAAGTTTTTTATATCGTTGCGGAAGGAGTTTAAGATTTTTATTCACGTGAGCGTCTGCTAGTTTGCAATTCAGCAGTTCCTTCTAAGATGTCAAATGTATATTTTAAGTGGCATATGGAGACCCCTATTTTTGGACTGGCAACCTCAATACCAAGAAAGTACTGTAGCAGTCAGTAGTCACGGATTCTAGGTTTGAATGTGAGGAGACAAATGGTATTTGAGATTTAATAATTCCTTCAAAATCATTACCTGGGACAATAATATCATCCACACATACAACTTTTGTTTTAATTTGTGAGGACTAGTTGACCGGTGACTGTGAAAGGCCATGAAAAACCTACAAGGGTCTGAAAAATACTCTGAAGCATTTTCAATTTATAAAGTTTCTGACTGGCAACCTAAAAAATGAGTAAACTTTTCCACAATATTTTTGGAGGATAGTGAACAATTCATACCTTCCTTTTATCAAAAGTAACCAAGTACCACGACAGAAATCATTGGTGAATGTAAGCATCAAATATTCAAAGGAGAAGTTACTTGACTAGGACCCCAAATTCCAAACATCAGAATGACTTGCTCAATGTCATTACTAGGTTTTGAGGCACAAGAAGTCTGAGAAGAGTGTAGTGTGGTTTTTTCTCGTTTCTTTTCTCTGCTCCCTTTTTGGTGCTTTTCAAATGTGTTACTTTTAGTTTTCTCGAATTCCTTTTCTTTTGCTCTTGACAGACCTCTTGCTTTTGTAGGTAGGAGCTTTGGAAGAAGAAACTTTATCTAAGGAGCCTGAGCAACCACGTAAGAGACCACGGTTACAATCTAAAGAAGATGAGAAGTCGCCTTTCAACGACGCCAGCTCCAAATTAGCTGAGGCATCCTCAAATAATCATAAAGTGAAGGATCATGTTGTATCTAATGATTGTTCCACCAGTGTCTCACCCGACATGGTGGGTTCTCATCAGGCTAGTCATGGAGAGAAGGCTCTTCAGATTCCTTTCTTTTCACACACATGTGGTAGAAACAAAGAAAAGGAACCCATTTCACCCAAATCTTTGGGGTTGCCAGATAAATCTGTTTCAACTCAGCATCATGCCTCTAGGAGAAATATGTCCAATGCATTGAAGAATTCTGGACCAAAGTCTAGCTCTCATCCAATGCGTCTTAGGGATAGACAGATAGAACTTCAAGCTCTTAATTCTGCATCCAGGAAAAAGACATCAACACATGCACTTTCCTCTCATGCCTTACCCCTTCAAGAGACAAACTCTGATACTTGTGTTGCTCAATCCCAAGAACAGAATGCTTCTGGTACTCATGCTTTTAGAAAGCACAAGGATGAGACAATACTTGATGAGGTGTCTGATTTCAAGGTTCCAATTGCTGTTTTTCCTCCTGGTAATTAAGCTTAGTATTATTTGTTTATTTTCTTTTGTTGATGATGAGCTAATACAATACTCATGTCCCAGAATAAGGCTCCGCATTTGACATCACACTGTTATTATAAAAGGTGAAATTGTGTGGTTGAGGTTTATGCCAAGAAGAGAAATAATATGCTTCCCTTTAAAGGAAAGTGACTTTATTTGGGACAAACTAAAGAGAAAACTTGGAACCATTTTCTGGGACAGATGGAGTAAATTATTTGGGGGAAAACCTAATGTGGCAATGTTATGTTCATCAGAGTCATCAGATGATGATGGTGGTGGTGGTGGTGGTGTTCGATGTGAAAATGGTTTTCTTGTAGATACCAGTGGAGCAAAGGATGGAACCAACTGTAGAGCAACATCTTCCAATGAAATGAAAACCAATAAGAAACCGGTAAGGATAAAAAAGTGTATTTCCATATGACCTTGAAATGGATTTATCTGTCTTTAAGGAAAAAAAAATCTTAATAAACTGTGACCCTTCGGCATGAAGTCTTAGGGTCAGGATGGATCAAGGTTTTGAAGGGGGGGGGAGGGTTGAATGCTAAGTCTTTAATTTGATAAAGTATTATTTTTTTAAAATAAAGGAATAATATAATGGGTGATTATGTAATATTTTATTCCCCCCTTCATTCGTTTTTAAAAACATTTTAGTTTTCAAGATATAGACTAAATCCTTTAAAGCCTTTTCCTCCAAAGCTTCTGAAAAACCTCTATCCAAAATGGCAATTTTTCTCCATTTGCATAGTCTAGAAGATGTACTTATCTTGGGTGGAGAAAGTGTCTGGAGTCATACAAATCTAGACCCAAACTTTTATGGGATGAAACTGATGCTGTGACATTTCTTTTGGGAATTGGGGATATACTCTTCAATTTGAATGCAAAAAACCAGGAAACATGGCTTCTACTAATCTGTTGAAACTTGAAAGCATATCCTTTGAAAAAAGCAATTGATTTTAGATGCAGGCCTATGGATTCTGAAGACGAATCTATCAATTCTCATGTTGATGGTGGTTTGGTTCTTGTGCAGATACATCAACTTTCTACTCGCAATGGTGTGGGTGACAGAGCACGACCTAAAGAAGATGCATCTAGGAACAGCCACTTTGATGTTATTGAAAATGGTCAGAGTGTTAGTAAACAGATGAATCCTCCAAGTCCAGAGGTTGTGGAGTCACTTCAGTTACCTTTAGATAATACAAGTCCTTTAACTGAGGTTATTGACATCACCAAGAAACAAGAAAAAATGATGATTTCATTAGTCAATGAAGTTAATAACAAGCGCCCCCCATCCTTCCACTACATTCCTGATAATACAATATTCCGGAATGCGTATGTAAACATTTCCCTGGATCGTATTGGGGACAATCATAGTTGTTTGACTTGTTCTGGGGATTGTTTATCGTTGCCCATACCCTGTGCTTGCTCATACGAAACAGGGGGTGAGTTTGCATACACAAAAGAAGGTCTTGTCAAAGAAGAGTTTCTGAAAGAATGTATTTCTATGAACCGTGACCCAGGAAAACATTGTCAATACTACTGCACTCAGTGCCCACTCGAAAGAGCTAAAAAAGATGGCATTCATACTCCTTGCAAAGGCCATCTAGTGAGGAACTTCATCAAAGAGTGCTGGAAGAAGTGTGGATGTGATTTGCATTGTGGCAATCGCGTAGTACAACGAGGAATAAGTCGAAAGTTACAGGTAAGCTATTGCAGATAAGTGGCACTCTGGAATTACCATGAATTTCACATGTATTCCTAATGATTGAATTATTCCAATGTGTTCAATTTTTTTAAATGTGAATTCAATATAGTGCCTAACACATCCTCTAGAGTTGTTGATATACCCCCGGTACCTACGAAAGTCCTTAAACAAATTACCGGATTAATGACTAAATCCTACGATCCTTTTTGGAATGAATTTACCCCTCCTAAACCCAAACCCTTAGCCATAATTTCATTGGATTTTTCCTCACCCTAAAATAAACCCAAACAACCTGTTTTCTTTCTTTACTGCCCAGGCCGTACCCCCTTACCCCCACCCTTTCTCATCAAAAAAACACACCCCATTAAACTCACCAAAA